AACTCTGGCTCATCCCCTCGCCACCCCCTTAGCCACCGTTTTCCTCGCGCTCCTCCATCCTCCTTCAGCGTCGCTCCTCCGTCCTTCTTCGGCGTCGTTGCTACGTCCTCCTTCGGCGTCGCTCCACCGTTTCGTTCCGTTCTGTTCGTAGCATGCCACCCTTCGTTCCACCCCCGTCACGGTCTCCGGGCGAAACTTCTCTGGCTTCGCTTCCACCGGCTACTCCCGCAGAGAGTTCGCTTCTGCCGGGGTTGGATATTCCCCTTTTACGTCCGACAACGGCTCGCGAGACGTCGACGATGAGCAGGAAACAACCACGATCCCGCGGCGTCTTTTGCAACTCCCCGTCCACCCGTTGGGCTCGGTCTTCCGGCTGGGAAACCGCTCGAGCCCGACAGACCGTGTCGGGCCTGGGGACTTCTTCGCTGTAGGTTCGATTTCAGGATCCGCTCTTTCGACTCGAGGCTTGTAACGTCGATCTCAGTGGTCTCTCTTGGCCTTGTCTTCGATGTCTCTAGCAATGTCCTGTTCTGGCTGGAAGGCTATGCCGACGGAACTCGATGGCTAACTCTTTGCACTCCAGGCATTTTTTCTGGTACTTACCAGCAACTCGAGATGCTTCCTTAGCATTCCATTGCCACGAATGCTAAGCTCAGATTGACTCCGAAGTTGAGGTCTCTAATTTCAGATTTTTAAAAATTGGATTACCCTTACTCTTTCGACAATCATTTTATTGACACGTCGAGTAACGGCTTTCTGCAATAGTTCTAGACTTTTCTATGGAGTCTTGGTCAAAGATTTGGTTGAAATTGGAATACGACGTAGACCGCGGAAAATTAGTGGGGCTCGAGTGATCGTTTTGCTGGTTACGAACTTGTTTGTGCAAATGCGAGCGTGCACGAGCAATTTTCCAATTGCTTTGTTGAACGAGGCTATCGACTGCGCGAATCCGTGCGATAGAAACATACTAACTAGCTACTCCCAAACTACATTAAACTTCGTACACGTAGTTAACGCATTCGCGGCCGTGTCGGCCACCGATAATCAACCTGTTAGCTCCAAATAAACTTGTATTGTACAAAGTATCGAATACTCTATCAAATTGAGTGTATTTCCATTCAATAGACTATTGCGATCGAATTATATACAAAACCTACGTACAAATATCTCTTTTGAAAATCTTATTTTCTCTCCTAACGAAATAAGCAGCGTTTCGAATTTTCCAAAAATCGAGGACCTTTCCCCGACGGGGAAAAGAAAACGTTCTCGGAGGTCCAAAGATCTCTTCGGCGTATGATCCACGCGGATATCACGCGCTTCATCAACAAACTGGGTCACGTAGCTCTGGTGGCACACGCTCGCGCAACCGTCTACCATTTGCGGACCATTGCCGAACGTATCTACGATCGTGAGATACGACCGGCCTCCGAAGAAGTAGGAGGAAGAGGTCACTGATTCCAGAGGGGCCCTCATCGTCCGCGAGTGACTGCTCGAACGAGCCGACGATCGGGCTAAGCTCGTTGGCCCTTCTCTCACTCCGCGATCAACTAACTACCGACTCGACGAATGAACGGTCAGCTGCCGTTTTGGCGGTCACCGGGACTGTCGACGCCATTTGCCCCGACAATGACCGTCTCCCTTTTGTTCGCTCAAATTGGTCTGCTCATGAATTTGCACGAGGAAGTTGCTGAAATTGATTCGTTACTCGTATCGTTGCTGAGCCACTAGCCTCTGGACGTTCGACAGAGGTTAAGTTTGCAAGCGAAAGAAATGATATCGTTTGACGTTGTTTGTCTTCTGGTTTGGAATGCTTTTTACCAAGTTCTTCTACTTTAAACAAATGCTGCACTCGCATAGAATGTTAATCAGAATGAAATCAGATGTCAACGGAATCTTTATTTCTTTGACGCGAGCTTAAAAAGTTTCAAATCCACTTTAGCCTCGGAGTACTTAGCACCGTTGTTTCGATTGGTCTAGAAATTTGCAACCAAGGACGCTAATGTCCCATCGCTAATGCGAGGCGGTCGAGTTCGAAGCGCGCCAGCGCGCACGTAACCGATTAAAAGTCTGGATTAGCAAGTAAAAAGGAACGGATCCGCGCCAGTCTGGCAGGTTCTTAAAGGGAGCATCGGAGTCCCAGCGAGTCCAATTACACGGGCAGCGGCTTCTGCTTTGTTTCACGGCCGCTGCCCGTTGTCTGATGCCTTTCCTCCGTCTCTCCTTTTCCCGTGGTCGGTCTCTCCTGCGGACCACGGCCGTGCGCGAACTTCCGTTGCCAGCAGGCGTTGCGATTCCGCGATGCTCGGTCTACCACGCTTCTGTGACTTTGGCGTCGTCCCGTTAACTTCGCGAAAATTTACCACTTTTCGGCTACCCTTTAAATCTTCGCCTTCGCGCCGACTCTCCGCTCGCCGGAAATAGCGTACTCGCCGCCATGTTATCGCTTAAATACGCTTCTTGCGCCCGACTTATTTATTGGCTGCATTAACTTCATCGCGTTGAGACGGGCGCAACAGCTAATTAAAAGCGATTGTCGCGCAATTTGCCCGTTTGACGGCGATCCGAATCGACCAAGTTTCGAACACTCTTTGCTTTTAAACGACACTGTTTCATCCTGTCTACCGTGACCCCCTCGAAATTTGTGTATTATAATTGACGCGATACACGTGCTTCTTTCGCGAGGTCATTCCTTCCTAGCGCAGTTCCAGAGAAGAACCGCGCACACTGTTTACGTTTTCCAATTACGAGCTCAGGGATAAGCTTTCCCAAGAAACCGCGTACGCGGTCACGCATTTTATAATCAATTAACGATACGCTGCGAGGAGATAAGAATTCAGTTCTTCAAACAAGCAATTAGAGCCGTAGAAACGTGACGTAATACGCATGAGCGCTCAGGCATACGCTACCAGCCGACGCGGAATTTCCCTGAACGCGAAGACCTCCGCGAATTAATATCTATAACGTGTTACGCACTCTTTAGTATCGCGTTCCGCGTGTGCTCCCTCCGTATCAGCGATATCTTCGTAATTAATTTCCTCGTTGTATGGCTAATCGCACTGCGCTAATTAATCAAGTTCCTCTAACTGTTGCAGGTAAGAGCGCTTTGATGTTTCTCCTACGCCTATGCCGTTGAAAGTCATGTCGGTAAGTGTTAATTCCAGCGCCAGCGCGACGCGCAGTCTTGTAAATCGTGGTTGGAAACGCTGCGAAGAATTTTACGATCAGCTTAGACGGTGACGAGGAAAGATCTGTCTCGATAAATTTAGAAATTATCCAGCTACGAATAAATATTCTCCAACGGGTCCCAATTATCGACAATCGTTACTTCGAATGATAATAGAAAATTCCGAGTATTGTCAACAAAATGGCTAACTATCTACTCGTCTACGTGAATTATACTCTAGGCAGGTGAATCAAGCGCGCATTCCTGGATCGACATCGGTGCGCGTCGGTGGCGTGGTTGCCTATTTATATCATTTCCTGCCTAGTGGGGCGTTTAGAGTTAGATGTACCCAACTCTATTCGCGGCGAGGGCGCTGCCACGACTGAATACTATAATGTCCGACTGTGTTAAAAAAATTGAGATGGAAGATTTTCAGTCAGCGAGTGATGGTCGCGAATTAATTCCAGAAATAAACCTCTCTTATTTTAATTGGAGTACACTTGTCTCTCGCAACGATCGCAGCCCGTCCTCGAGTCAGAGACTCCAGAGAACTCACCGTGTGCATTCATTTCAATCCTGGCGAGCCAATGTTGTCGATCGGTCGAAAGGATCGCGATGCCTGCTGAAAGATTGACGCCCGAATCCGTCGACGAATAGACGGGGCTGAGATTTCCCGCAATTTTCCTCGCGATTCGCGGGTTCGCGCTCGTAGGCCGTGCACGTCTCGCCGTGGTACGAGAGCTTCGCATTCAATTCGATTCGCGTACGCGTACGTTTCTTCGAGGCTCGAACCGAAGGCACGTGGCGTGCTCGCACGCGAACCGATCACTCTTCGCCTTTTCGCGGCACTTTAAACCCTTCACCCTCTGCCGTTACATATGCTCGCAGAGAGATGTACGACACGCCAAACTATTTCATCTTTGCAAACACCTGCACCTAGTTTTCGATGATCATTTTTATTGTGTGACGATGTCGTGTAACTCTTCGTTAGATGGTATAGGAGGAAATTTCCATTAGAAAGTCGATTAATTAGACGATTCTTGCTGGACACTTAACTCGTATCCGTTTTATTATATAAATTGTTTGCTCGCTGCAACGTGTTCGTATTCGAACGATCGCCGAATCAAGAAGGAAAGGCCGCTTGCTCGCCGATCATTTACATACAGAACTCTCCCAGTTCGCGCGAAAATTTAATCCGCTCATTCGCTCTCTTTCGCTACATTCTTAATAAGCGAAAATGAGATTTTCAAAAAATAATGGATCGGCGCATAATTTTAATTTCCAACGATTTACACCGTCTGGAAGAGGCCAGCATAGTTCGGTTCCGTCACCGCATCGTTCGTTGACTGACCAATTTATTTTCACTCCTCTGCTCCCGGAACGAACGTCCAATACGGGCACCGAGACGTCCAATACGGGCAATCAAACGCTATCGAGCGTACGCCTCCCTTTGTTGACGCAGAAAGGAACAGCGTGACAGCGCTCCTCCGCCGGCAACCCTCGATCCTTCGTGAACACACGCAAGGGAGAGAATCCCGAAGAGAAGGAGGCCAGGAGGGAAAGCTGACCGAAGAGGGACAAGGATGGCAGAGAAAAGGAGGGAGACCAGGCTGAACGCAACCACCATCGTGCTGGATCACGGGGGCGTAAAGAGAACAGCTAGAGAAGGAGGCATGGGGGACGCGGGTGTCGGAGCAGGGAGCGAGACAGAGCGAGAAGAAGAGAGAGCGATGCTTAACGCATGTGCACAGGGCGCCTCGCGTCGCGGCGCTCTGGTCCCGCCGGTCGGAGGCTGCGAAACCAAGTAGCAGGAATTCGCGGATCAGAGTGGTCGCATCTCTCGCTTCAGATATACGTTCAGCGCAGCCCAGGTCGGCAGTTTTCCATGAAAATCGAGGAACGCGCGGCCTTACCGACGCTGGCCAACGCAATCGTACCAGCCGACGCGTGTCCCGATCGTCGACAGGATGCTGCCCCGTGCACGGTTCCACCGGTGACGAACGACGAGCACGGTGTTCAGGGTTCTCGATCGTATCGCGAGCGCGGAGTGCACGTGCGACATGATCGCTCGGAGGGAAATCCTCTAACTCCAGACCCGTGTCCCCTATCCACGGATCAACGAGCCACCAGTTAACAAAGACGATCGCAACGTTCCCTGCGACTCTGGAGATCTCGGAGACGCGTTCAGACGCCGAGCAGCTGTGGATACTACTAGCGCAGGCAACGAGGAAGTCGTCGCGATGCCGACAGAGGTACACTCGTGAGGACACCGAGGCGTTCACCGTGCTACGGGGTTCCGAGACACCGCGGGAGACAATCGAATGAACCAGACGGCGTTCATGACTCGCTAAGGCAATCGCTCGCTTATTTTTTATTGTTCTTCATCGGCAAACGGCTTGGCTGTGCCTGGCTCTCTCAGGATCGGGCAAGGTGTATCCCAGTGGCTGAGACGCAAGTACAGTGAGACGTCGCGTATCGTACAGTGTTGATCGTTCAGAGACCCGCACGAGCGACGAGCTTCGACACGGTTCCGGTTTCGGGTGCTGTGAAACGTTGCCGTGCAGGCTCGAACGAGAGAAGGGTGATATGGTGATTGGACTCGCATGGTCGCGTCTTCTCGCAGAGCAGAGTGAGTTTCCGCGAAGGACACATGTTTCGTGGAGGGTGTCGGGTCGTCTCCATTCCACTGGGTCGGTGACTGTCCGCGATCACGATCGGACGACGAGGAGGCTGCTCGAGGAAGTGGTGGCGCGTGGAGGGAAGAACCAGCCACGACGGGGCCCGGCGCCGGGGCACGGACAAGGCCCCCGGTGCAGGGAAGAAGCCAGGCAGAAGGGGAAACCGGGGCCGGCGTAGCAGCAACGGCCCTGAAACTACAGGGGAACCTAGCTACCCCCTTGCACAGGGGGGAAACCAGGAGGAGACCGCGCCGACGGAGGCGACGGAAAAAGAAGCGACGGAGGTGAGCAAGCGTTGCGTTTCGATCATAAAACGGACCGTTGCATTCGTTTCTCGTTGCTCTCGAGTCCTTTTGTTTTTCTTGCGATCTCTTAGGTTCGCTGTTGTCGTTGCATGTTTGATGGAGGTATCACAATTCCGAATCCAGCCGCGTAGCAACGCGATGCTTGGAAACCTGCGAAGACGGATCGTTGTTGCGTTGTCAGTTCTCGTCCTTGTTCCCGTTTCTGACGTATTCTTCTATTTCTGATACCTATCCGCATCCGATTCTTTAGCAGCGCAATATCCGAGCTCTTACATGTTTGGAACGATCTCTGAAAGTTGCCAGACATTGCTCAGCGCCTGCTCGAGTGTATCCGCGAGAATAAATGATTTATATCATAAATATATCCCGCTCCTGACCCTAAGCCTAGTCCACTCGAGGGTGGTCTTTCGTTCTCCGTGCGTTGATCGAAATTTCAGAAGGGTTTCATCGAGAAACACAGTTGACGTGGTGTCGTGGGAGCGGAATTCGATGCTCGTGACAACAATGTGCGCCGACGCGTTCCGCTAAATATAATTCGCGGTTCTGATTCACCGGGCAATTAATTCGCTAGTCGCTACGCGTAATTTAGCGGTCCAACTTCTGCACGGGAAACAAAGGTGTCGGAAATCGTATTAAGTTAAAGTTACTCTTTCGGTGACTTTGACTACATTTGCATTAAACATTCCATTTTGCGCAACTCTGTCTTCTAGCCTCTTCAATCCTAGAAATCCCAGGAAAAGTTCCTTCGTCAAAGGACCTAGTCGGTAGACGAGTCCGCTCGAGCGAAGCTAGGGAAACGTGGCGCGCGTGCAACATAAATCGAAGGGAAACCGAAAGCAGACAGGCGCGTCTACGTACAACAGGTCACTCGTTGAATAATTTACCATCGAGAAACGTTCGAATGCAAATGCCAGCCTTTGAATGTCGCCAAGGAGCGAACACGAATTTCGCGCGAATCATGCGCTCGAATCCGCGCGCCGGTTCGCGGACGCGGATGCTTTATGATAAAACGCGCGACGTACGAGAGATAACGTGACGTTTAAATTAACGCCGGACCCGAAACGGGCGACACGCTTCGAATGTCACATTACGATACCCCCGTAACGGTTGATCAATGCTCCCGCCAAAATTCGTTACCGAGTTCTCGCTTATTCATCAAAATTCCCGGCCGTATCGATGAAACGTTCCACCACCGACGAAGTTATCTGATTTTTTCAACTCTTTCATTTTTTTCGTTCCCTTTTCCGGAGGCCACTTCCGTGTCTGGAATGTTTTCGATGAAATCGAAAGCCGCGGCTGCAAAAATAAATGATCGCCATCGCGTTGCGTGCGAAATTATTTTGTCTTGCAGGAATAACAAATGCGCTTGCTTGGGAACACAAATACATTCCGCATAACCTCTTGCGTTTCGTCACGAATCTGCTAGTCGAACGCATTGAAGGAAATCCAAATTCATTCTCGAAGCAACGGTGTATAATTATAATCATTTAATGTTGTATATTTTATTTAAATTATACTTTTCTAATTCGATCTCCCACGAGTATAAAAGAGTCGTATCAGCCTCCACGTGAATTTACACCGCACGCTTTCCCAATGTGTCCAGTCGGCGAAGCCTAACGACGAGGAATTGCCGTTTCGAAGAAAAGCTCCGACTCGCGCGCGCGCTATCGGTCCGCGCCGCGTGCCTGGGCCATTCGGTAATTCGCTAACCGCTCTTAATTGTAATTGTTCAGCGCGGTGGATTCCAGGTCGGGCTTCGGGGTGCTCGCAAAAACGACGGGATTCCAGTGTTAACCTGCAATTCGTTCGGGGTTCTTGCCTTGGTGCGCACCATTCCGTCCACGGCGGTCCCTCGACGACGCGTCACAATCTCGTTTTTCGTCCGGCGCGTCAACAAATTTCATCGACGTGCCGATCGGATGCCAAGGACCGCTTTCCGACCACCGTCGGTGCCCGAGGAGCACGCTTCCCGGGAAGCATTCCTTCAGCTCGTTTGTCCCACCGCCTAGATCGCTTACCTAGATACCTTTAATGGCGGCTCGTTTTGATTAAATGCCGATAATTGCCGCTGGAAGAAATTCGCCGCGCGGTAGCAGCCACCGGTGACGTCTGGACGCGTTTAGGTTCGCGCCGTGTCCCGTAATCGCTCGTGTCCGCGATGAAATCGATGGCGCGCGCTCCGGGAGCTTCGCGATGAAACCTCTCCGCGCGGCTCAGCTTCCCTTTTACGGTATCGTTTCTCGGAGTTTGGACGACGGGGCTCTAATGCGCATCTGGAAAAAAAGAATTGAAAGTAATCCGTGCTAACGAAAGATAGTCTTCGGTAGAGTCCACGTACCGTATATTGCTCAGGAGTTGGCGAGGCACCTACGAACTGAAGGGAGCAGCGGCAAGGGAATTTCACAGTTCGGTCCGCCTTTGCTACACCAGTTGCCCCCTTTATTTCGAGCAGTCACACTGCAAAGTCGCAATCCACTTTACATTGTCGATTAAATACAAAATATGTCTTATGCATCTCGAACTCTTTAATTTTTCTTACATGTATCTACGCCAATAGTTACTATTGTTCGTCGTTATGCGACAATCGAACTGGCTCTCCAACTCCTGAGCAACGAACTATACACTGCGGCGTAAGCAGTTGCGCGAACACGTAGACACGTGGTTTTCGTGAGCGCGCGATCAGCTGACTGCGATGTAAAATAGCGCGTACCGGGTGTTGCATCGTTAAATTTATGCTCTTTTGTCTTGGTGAAGCAGCTTCGAATTGCAAAAAATGTTGGTTAAAAATACAGGACGTGATCCAATGCGAATACTCACCAATCGCGTCCACGCTGCGCCGCCTCCGCTCGAGCTTGCTTTCACAGAGCTCGTGAACCATCTGTCGTCTCCTCCGATGTTTTCAAAAAACGCCATGGTGTTTTTTCCCGTGAAAAACGCCGGGCCCTGGGCGCGGTTCGCGCAGAATTCTTAGCCCGAAAGGTCGCGATGCTGGTTGGCTGAGGTTCCCCCTCGTTCGTATTACGTCCCTTCCGTTCGTGACAGACCGGCAACCGAGGGGGTTGGGGGGAGGGTTGCGAAGGCAGGAAATGAAGGGAACGGACGGTGGGGGGGGGGGGTGATAGGAAAATTTGATGGAGGGTGGCTGTCGGGAGGGGGGAACGCGAAGCGAAAGAGACGGACAAGACTAGAGCGAGAAGCAGCGAGCCGATCAAGGGGAAATAGGAGGAACAGAGGGCTATCAATGACGCGTTAGAGCACGTCACGTCGTGCAACGCATCTGCCGCCATGCGCCGTCATATATATTATCTTGACGATACGTCAATTCGGCCACACTGATCATTATACTGATTACCTTGGCACGCAAACTGGCCTCGCATGTGCGCCCGTTCTCATGACTCGGTTATTAATAAGCGCGCCTAGCTCGATAGGATTGCGACAGGACGAGGATCCTCCGTTAAAAAGGATTCGGCACCCTAAACTGGTAGCCACCTTGGAGAGAGCGTTCTAAGCGCCGTCGAAAATTGAAGCCTGCAGGTACCGCTTATTATGCAAAACTAGCGCCACCGAGAGGGGTCCTCACTTCGGATACTCGAGAACCAATGATTATCAATCGACGGAGGATTGGAGAAGAACATACGTACGCTGTGGCTTTAGGGAGAGGTGTGAATCCGATAAACTCGAAAGAGGGATCCAGACGACCTTTGATGTTTGAAGAGCTCGACGGTACAGGAAGGAATCAAGAACGGAAGAGGAGATGCAGGAACGAGGCAGGAGGTGCTGAAGCAAAGAAGCTCGACCGGGGCTATACCTAACGCAGGGCCCCGGTGCGGCCGCTGCCATAAATTTTGATATTATACGCGAGGCCTAGTCGGCTGGAAGAGAAAGAAGAGAAAAGGGGGGACGGTCGGAGGAATAGTCCGCCGGTGACGCAACCAACAATGCTCTCACGAGGTTTTAACTTTCTTTTTTCGCTCCCCCGGCCCACAATGGACCGCACGCTCTTGCGCAAACTTTCCTCGATTTCCCCAGGACTCGGACCGTTCGCTACAAAGGAAAGCGAGGGAAATCCTCCGCGGTACTCCCGAAGTCTCGACCTTTTTTTTCCGCTTATTTCCGCTCACGACGACTCGCATTCAAGGTCGAGGTACGAAAACGTCGCGACCCCCGTGCACGGGAAAGGCACGATCCCGAATTTGTTCCTCCTGTCATCGAGGGACCGTATTCAAATGGAAGTTTACTTTTTTTATTTGGAGCTGCAGATGGATCCTTACAAAGGAACACAACAATTTGCTCTAAAAAATAGTTGCGAAAATTGAAAGTGAAATAACTATTAGTAAATGATTCCATAAGTATTTGCAACACCCTTAGCTGAGACTTCTACAACCTCCAGAGAAAATTCACTCCAATTTTTTTTTCCTCTTGTGACTCCAAGTTTACTTGCTCCAATCGTTCGCAGAATGAGACTTCTACCCAAGCATCAGGGCAAACGGTTCGTTAAAGCGATTCGTCGTAAACCGAAGCTATTTGTCCCGCGTCGAGGCGTCCGCGCGACGCGGTCGAGTTCGCGCGTTCTTCAGGATCGGATTTTTATTTTGGGAGCGAGCATGGCGTGCAACGTGCCCACGGGATCCCTCTTGTTATTTCTCGTACTTTCCATTGCGATAAATCACGAGCGCCGACGGAAGGGCTGAGGAAGTAAGACCGACAGAAGAGGGCAACGGTTGTTGCCAGACGGAAAACCGAAAACCGCGCCGCAGCACAGGAAGTCAGCGGTGTTCGATAATTTATCGACCCCGCGCCGCGAACATTACGCTGTTTTTCAGGTGTCGGAGCAATTTTATACCTTGTTATCGCATCGTCCCATTTTGTAGACTTCTTAGGTCGAATACAACCACGCGATTCGAGTAAAAATATTAAATATAATTTTTACGTACAGTGCTTGCTACTCCATTATTGTTTTTCTGGCTGATTTCAGCCGT